CAAACCGTGAACAGAATGATCTCTTCCATCTCTCTTTTGCTCCCTCGCCGTCTCAGTTTCTTTCTAGCTTCATTCTTTCTAGTTTCTACCGTTTTTTTCCTTCTTCTTCTACTACTTTCTGGAGAATGGAGGGTGGGGATGGATTTCAGTATTTCGCTACTTCAGTTCTCTACCGTGTCCGTGATGAACTAACTACATGTTGCTAGGCAAGATGAGACGGGATGGCCCTTTCCTCTATTTCTAGTTTACATGAAATGAAACATATATTAAGTAATGAATGAGGATTATTTGTCCATAACATATTTTAATTAATAATAAATCTATTGTTGATCTACCATACCTCTCTTCATAATTTTGTACAGTAGTGTTCATGCTATCTTTCCAGTAATAATATAATAAATAATAATAACGTATGAAAGTAGGACGACTATAGATAGATTGGTATTATTGTACAAACTATGAACGGATGCTGAAGACCTGTAGAGCCTCTTACTTCTCAACGTGGCAAAGTATGTGAAGTGGGACAAAAAAAAAGTTTTACTAATACAATGCGTGCGTGCTAGACAAATGCTACCTCCGTCCCAAAAATGATGCAATATTAGGCTTGTATTGAGTCAAACTTTCATAAGTTCAGTTAAGTTTATAGAGAATATTATTAACATTTATGATTCTAAACAAATATACTACAAAAATATATTCTAGGATTAATCTAATGATACCTATTCAATATAATCAATGCAAGTATTTTTTTTTATAAATTTAGTCTAACTTCGACTCTTCAATACAAAACAAGAACTGTATCTTTATTTTTGAGACGGATGGAGTACGTGTCAATCTTGATATACATTTTTTTTTAATCATCAAACGATTCAAAGGAGCCAAAACCCAATGCAAGGAGGATAAGTGGGAACGGGCAAGGCAAGGCTCACTACACGCAAAGAAAGCAGCAGCGGCCGGTGCGGCGGCCGTTCCCGGTTTTTCCCTGAAAAAGATGGGATCGGAGCAGCTTTTCCCGGCTGTGACCTGTGATTGCCAAAACAAAAGAAGAAGGGCAGCCAAGTAGAAACCGATTACCGATGCGCCAGACAGGTGGCTGTACAAGCATTCGATCTGTTTCTGTGCACGGAACCCTTTCCCCGGCGGTCGGCGCCCGCAGTCGCAGCCGCAGCGCTTCCTTTCGATCAGTCTGCTTCTGCTCCTACCAGTTCTGATGGAGTACATGTACATCCATCCAAGCATGGATTCCACATTTCCACGTCTCACTGCTGAGCGAGTCCTAATCACGCCAGATAATGCAAATGCAACTGTATTTGTATTTGTTGCCGCATGCAACATGACACGACGACATCGCGTACAAAATTTGTTTTACAAAAAGAGTAGTGTACACGTACGCACACCTTATGGCTATATGTTAATAGACAAACTTTGTGGCAAAGGCGCTGAGAGATCGAAAAGAAAATTCCAAAATTGTGCCAAGTATTTTTGACGTCATCTGTGCCATGCTACAACCAAACAGATCGACCTCAACTCGTTTGTGAAGGAAATCTTGTACACGATACTCCCTCTATCCTATAATATAGTGCATTATATGAATTTTAAGATAAATTAAAAGAGAACATAAAAGACTCATGTACCCTCATTTTATTTCCTAATCAGACGATATCATTAACGTGATTAATGGTGATTGGTTGATAAATGAAAAGTATTTCATGTAAAATTGGTTTTTATCCCCTAGAATGCATTATATTTGAAGACAAATTTTGAATGCTAGAATGCATTATATTACAGGACGGAGGGAGTATTGAACTTGCAAATGTGAGTGCACACGCAAAAAATACGTCTTATGGATAGAAATGAATATATTGAGAAACCAAGTATATGGCACCGAGAAAATGGTAATATTTGGAGATAATAAACTTATTTCCTAATATTTGGAGAAAATGCTAATACATGCAAAATGCTAATATTTATAGATAAAAATATGCTTATAGATGAATTTCTGAATGTATTTTCATAATAAATTTATTTAGGCTAATAATTTATATAAACCTAGTCAAACTTAAGAAAGTTTGACCGGCATGAATCTCATAGTGATGCTCTTTTTTGAAATGGAGAGAGTAGGCATTTTAGTTATTAATCTAGCTATAAAAGTAGTGTCGCTTTGGAGGACAGGAATAATGTGCCTAGAGGATATCAAAGGATAGTAATAATTTTAAGGTTCAACAGAAAGAATTTAATTTGGCTCATCAAATGAATACTGTCTAGATAATTATGTGGTGATCTTAGCAAGCAATTATTGTTCACCAAATTAATCAAGGGTGCGCCAAAGCCCAAGCCGGATTAATCCAGGATTATATTAGCCAAATAGTTAAGCAACGCAACAGTCGCCAATTGGCAATGGCTCACCACACGCAAAGCACACCACCAGCCGGCATCCCGGCCGATTCTTGGTAAAAGACGAGCAACCGATCGGACCAGCAGGTTTTCCGGCTGCCAAAACAAACTGATGAAGCGGTCATATCCGGCCGTACACGTGTTCTGCGCACCGGACAGGCGGGCCCTTTTCTTGCTGCTTGGAACGCAACAGTTTTGTTGCATCATGGCACGGCATCACGTCACGTAGAGGACATTTCCTGTTTTGAAAAAAAAAGGTAGTACACCTACTAATGCTTGGCCATGCTGTACAACTGGGACGGAATGCAAAATCTTGATAAACTTTGTGGCGAAGTTGGTGAGAAGGAAACAAAACTGTGCCAAGTATTTGTGATGTGGCATAAGAGCAATCCTACTAGCAAACAAATCAACTTGTATGTATGAAGCAAATGAGGTATGACTAAAGCTATGTTTGGCGGGGCTCCAAATAGTTCCGACTTCTGTGCGTGAAGGAGCAGGAGCCGGTGAAGCCCAAAAATAGTGGCTTCATTGGCTCGTAGTCCATTTAGAAGAAGAGATAAAAACGACATTTCACTATAATTCACAGCGAAGTTAGAGCTGAGCCGTCTAGAGCTCTACCAAGCGCGCGCGCGCACACACACGTAAAACTATGGTTGTCTAGAAAGTTTGGCAAATGCGAGAGGGGAATGAGATATTAAAGGAGACCTGGCGTGCATGGCAAGATATAGGTGTTACCACCTGCCACCAAGGTAATACAAAAAATAAATTATCAAAATATTTCATAATAACTTACAAGAGTCATTGAGTGCACGTGTTTATACGATTTGCAGAACAACCGCCACACATAGATTTATGCCGGTTGATTGTTCGTCATGTCTGCTTTTGTGACACCAAAAACGACACTTTGGTAGGTTCATTAAGTAAAAAACTACTTTTATTGATTGTCGGGTCACACTCTATTAGGTGGGCTAACCCTCTTCTAGTTCAGTCTAGTACGTGCACGTGGTATTGTCGTTGTTTGAAGCCTTCATAACGTAACAAAAAGGATAAGGTAACCGTAGCAGAAAAGACAATTACTAGCTAGAGTTTAGTTTCCTAGCTAGTATTCTAGTTCAATGAACTATAAAGCACAACAAATTTCCGCTCATGTGTGTTACTAAATCACTTGACCTAATAGCTGGGAGGATAAGAATGTGTCAGTGTAGTAGGGGAGAGAGGTCGAAGGGTGGTGAGGTTTAGGTCCAACGGATGGAATAGATGGGAGAAAGAAAAGATCGAATAGGGCATTTGCTACCTAGGTCTAACACTGTGATGTAACGAGACTCATTCCATACACCCTATGTATAGTATAGTTACCTTTTAAGTACTATAATCAAAACCAATGTTGAGATAAGTACATATATAATGGATCAAATTAGGTGATCATGAATACTAAAGCAAACAAGCAATGGTTCACCGAAAGCAAACCATCGCCACCGGCATTTGTTCTCCTTCACCAGGACTCGGGAGCTTCCAAAGCTGAACAACAGACCGAAAGAAGCTTTCTTGGCAGTGCACTCGGAAGGCTGCACCTACAACGGCACTACCAAAGAAACCTAGCAGAAATCGACAGCACGAGAGACGCAACCGCCTGCTGGCCTAACAAACACGCATACTCCAGATGCCAACCTACTCGTTCGTCGCAACGTAGCGACCTTCATTCCAAGCTGCATGCAACCTTAAGCTCCGATACATGCATGGGTGATGGGTTCCACATCACTGCCGAGTGAGCCCTCATCTGATCAGATCAGATCAAATAGCTGTTGCAACAGTTTTTGTTGCACGTAGCATATCAATATGACACGACATTGCATTAGATCCACCAAATGCCGCTTGATGTAGTATAGCAGTTTGTAAAACTTTGTGCTCCAAGAAACTTCATAGTTTTTTTAAGTAAAACTTTGATGACCTTTTTCCTTCTTGGAGGTAATATAATCTTTATGGCGTTTTTTCGAAAGTGGTGAAAAGGGTACAAAATTGCATTGTGCCGTGATTTAGAACATGACGCAAGAGCCATGGCCGTTTGCATGTGGAGCAAGTCTTGTTCAAGGCGAGGAAGCTTCGTCCCTCTCCCTTAGAAAAAAAAACGCAAATACTATCAGTAACGCAAACTTCTCTCTACGACTCGACCCCCTCTCTTTCTCTATCTCTGCCAAGGTTTTTATTTTCGGAAATTGAAATTTATCGGGGGTCACAGATAAAGAGGATAAATAAGATATATCGGAAATATCGGACCAAATTCAAATAAAATTTAATTTAAATTTAAGTAAATTTAAACAAAACTTATACGAAAAAGATAGATTATATCTTATCGGCACCTACGGATAAACAAGATATATCGAAAATATCGAGAGATTTCGGTCGATAAAGGAAACCCGACTCTGCCTAGTGTCTACACCTCTCTCTCTCTCTCTCTCTCTCTCTCTCTCCGGGTCCTTCCCCTTATAAGAGGGCAACCAGGGCCACGGCACTCTGTGTGTTGAGAGAAAGAGAGAGAGAGAGGGAGTTGCCAGTGAGCCAGGATAAGTGAGGAGATCAGCAAGGAGCGGAAGGCCGTGGCGGTAGCCATGGACAACTCGGCGGAGGTGAAGCTGGTGGACGAGATCGCGGGAGAGGGAGGGGCGGAGGGGGACTGGGGCTACCTGGGCTCCGACGGGATGGGCTCCGGCTCCTACCCGGGGTACCCCTTCCCCAGGGACGTCCTCTCCACGCCGACCTCTGCGTCGCTGCTCCTCTCCATGGACCCCGCCGCGCTCTTCGACTTCAACAGCACCTTCCCGCCCTCCTCCTCCGCCGCCGCCACCGCCGGCTCCGCGCTGCCCGCCTTCCACGACTTCAGCTGCGTCAACCCCTTCGACGACGCCGGCCACTTCCTCGGCGGTCCCCCGCCGCTGCCGGCGGCGGCGGCGGCACAGCAGCAGGGGCAGAAAGGTGGGTTCTTTGCGCCGCCGCCGGGCTCGGACTTCAACGACACCGGGATGAGCTGGGACGACGAGGACGAGATCGACCAAAGCATCGACGCCTCCTCCATGGCCATCTCGGCCTCCATGGAGAATGCTGCGGGCGCGGCGGCGGGGGGAAGTGGCGCCGGCGGTGGCAGCGGGAGAGGCAAGAAGAAAGGGATGCCGGCCAAGAACCTCATGGCCGAGCGCCGCCGTCGCAAGAAGCTCAATGACCGCCTCTACATGCTGCGCTCGGTGGTGCCCAAGATCAGCAAGGTGATCAACCTGACTCGCCCATTCATCTCCTATTATCTTGCTTCCCATCTGTGCTTAGTATATGTATATGGAGTAGTATGCTTTACCTATGCTGAGTTTTGTTATTTATCTATAATGGCGGTGCAGTAGGATTAGAGTAGGATTCTATACTACGATATATTTTTCACTTCAAGTATGTGTGGATTTCGGTGTTGAATTCTTGAATTGTCCATGTTTAGATCCAAAAGCTACACCTTTTGGTAGATCTATGGCATTCCTATGTGGCTATTTTCCTTTGCTTCAGCTCTTAGCAGATAAGCAGATAGCGCCTTCACACGTCGAAAGCGGTCTTTTTCCATGGCAAATCATATGCAAAAGGCCATATTCTTTTGATTACTCCTTATGCTAGGCTTGTAAAATTTGATCATGCAACTCCTTATGTTAATACGAAATGGAATCTGTTTTTTTAGCTCCTTGTTAATGATTGGTTTACTGTCCAGCGCGCTATGGAAATTTTCAGTCATGCATTAATTTGTTGCCATGGGATTTGTCGTTTCTTATTACTTTTGGTGTTCTAAAAATTCTGAGGCACGCCCTGATTCAGTGGTGTGAAATTAACAGGGCCATGCACAAGATGTTGTCGAAAGCGACCCATCAACGCATAGCTTGCAAAATAATCATGTTTTCTTTCTTTCTTTCTTTCTTTCTTTCTTTCTTTCTTGACAATTCTTGTTTTTTCTGGCTTTAATTTGTTTATAACTATTGTTGTGTTCCTTAAACAATTCACACACGCTTGGATGACGACCATGATAGTACGTGTTTGGTATTAAATCAACTTGTTTTCACTGATCAAGATGGTTTTGAGCAACAAAGAAAGACTTGAAGTACAGCTATTGAGAGATACGTAACGAGTTGCAGCATAACAATTCAACACCATTTGCCAGTAACCCTTTTTTTAGTGTAGCAGGACAGTTTGTTTGTTTTTTATTCTTATCCCGTTGTTGATTTTCATCAGCATTTCTCCTCTGCTGTGACAGATGGATAGAGCTTCTATCCTTGGTGATGCAATTGAGTATCTGAAGGAGCTTCTGCAAAGGATCAGCGATCTTCACAATGAACTCGAGTCGTTAGCTTCAAGCTCTTCGTTTGTTGGACCAACATCAGCTAGCTTCAACACATCAACACCAACATTGCAGACATTTCCTGGCCAAGTCAAGGAAGAACTTTGCCCAGGCTCATTCCCTAGCCCTACTGGACAACAAGCCACGGTGAGTCCAAATTTGGCTATTAATGTTAACTTAGGCACCTCATTTAATTTAGTTTTGTGATACAGCACTACCTAAGCCTGCTTTATGATTCACATTCGTACACTGAATGTTTTACAGTCCGTGTTAGTACATTTATCAGCTGCAGGTCTTCATCGCCCCTTATTTCTTTTTTGAGAAATGTTCAGGCAAGCACTGACATGTAACGGTACCGATTCGTATGACTCTGAGTGAGACATTACTCTCTTGTTTGTTCAGGTTGAAGTCAGGATGAGGGAAGGGCATGCAGTCAATATCCACATGTTCTGTGCGCGTAGGCCAGGCATCCTGCTGTCCACAATGACGGCCCTCGACAGCCTAGGCCTCGACATCGAGCAGGCGGTCATCAGCTGCCTCAATGGCTTTGCAATGGATGTCTTCCGAGCTGAGGTCTGTGGTAACCACACCAATACCATTTCTGCTGAATTCTGATGGATTCAATTCAATTCAGCCAAACCCACCGTTGTTGCTCACCCTCTTCATGTCTCTGTTGCCTCCTCCAGCAGTGCGCGGATGGTCCTGGAATGGTGCCTGAAGAAATTAAGGCCGTGCTGATGCACACTGCCGGTCTCCACAACGCAATGTAGCCGGTCCGAAAACAGGCCACCACCAGGACGATGATCCTTTCTACAGGCTTCGATTTAGAAGCGGCATAAGCCGTGGTGACCATTGGTTTCTGGGGCAAGTGATGAATTTAAGATGAGGCTCGCCATCTCGGGCATGAGACATGAGTGCTGATGTAACTATGGATTTTCTTTAGCCTAACGTTGGTTTTCTCTCTGATACTGTGGTGTAATAGAATCTATGCTGCGTGTTAAACAATAGTATAATGGTGAATGGTGATGTGATAATTAACATCAAATTCAGTGCCTGTTTGTCAAAAATGATGCACAGGGAGATGAATGCATCAGCGTCCAGCAATGATTGTTTTTTTTTTTTGAAGAATCTCCAGCAATGATTGTGACTGGCAGGCAGAGGCAGGCAAGCCGGATGGTCATGGGTCCATCCTTGATCAAATGAATTATTCTCTGGCTTCTTTGTTAAATTTATGCCAACTGTTTTGCAGAATTGCGGTCAGTGAATCCTGCCCGTTGAATGAATCCTGCCCCCATGTCCATGTGAAGACTGAAGACTGTAGGCTGGGCACTGGAGTGAGGCTCCTAGATGAGTCGGCTGGTAGCTGATAAATAGGGAAGGATTTGCTGGGGAGTGTGGATGGCATTGGCTGCGTCACTGCCCCGGATTGAGTGATCCCTGCGGTGCCTCCAACCTGCAGGATGCAGTTCTTGCCTTGTGCTGCCATGCCCCTCCGGCCCTCCCAGTCGTCAGTCAGACCACTGCGAGATCTGCAGCAGGGCTACGGGCTAACGGCTCGGACTTCAAACACATAGCCATGGTAGGTGGTAATCAATGTTTGCCATTTAGGCCCTGCCGCTGTTTGGGACCGCGTTCGTGTTGCGTTTGAGGCAACTGAGCGAGAAAAGCGAACCAAACGCCCTGCGAGCGCCCGCTCATCGTGACCGCGCTTCCGCGTTCGACCATCGCCCGCAGTGTTGTTGGAAACGCGAGCGTGCGCCCGCGATTTGGAAAACGCAGCTCGCGATTCGCTCGCCACCTCTGCGGGCGCTCCTTCCCCGCTCCAGGCGGATCTCCGCCGCGTCCTACCTCCGACCCCGCCGCGTCCGTCCGGGCGGATCTCCGCCGCCGTCCCTTCGAAGTCCGACCCCGCCGCCTCCCTCCAAGGCCTGGCGTCACCTCCCTCCGCCCCCTCTCTCCTCCAGATCCGGCGCCGCCGGCCACATCTGAGGCCACCCATAGCCGGAATCGGCTCCACACCGTCCGCTGCGTAGAAGAAGAAGGACCGGATGGAAATAGAAACTTTTATTTGGGTCCAGCTGTAAGGCTATAGACTCAGGAACAATGCTACACAGTTTGAGAAAAGTTTAGGATCCCAGTGCAAAATATCCAACCCTAAATAATCAGTACACCCAAACGTACTGCTCAGAGCATCTCCGAGAGATTTTTCATATTCTTTCTAAATACTATGAGTAGAGATTTTGATGAAAAAACTACCTTACAACTGCTTTTCTAAATAGTCATCCAAATATAGCTATCTTTTATTCTGGATTTTTCGCTAGCCAAAAATAGAAGACGAGAATGGCTCTCTAGAGTGCGCATGGGATATAGAAAAGCTGTTGGAGAGTGAAAATATATAGAAAACGATTTTTATGCAAATGACTCTTCAAATATTAATTTAGAGAGTGAGATTTAGAAATGCTCTTAGAGATACTTTTAGATCCTACATCTCGCAACTTATCAGATAAATAATTCTGCTCAGCTTATAAACGAGACTCGGCTAAACCAAACAGAGCCTTAAAAAATGGAGATAGTAAGTACATGTATTTTTTTATCCCTTTGAACGGAAAATCGATAATGCTCCGGATTCGTTGCTCTGGATTCGTGAGAATCGTGACACAGAAAACTGATCAAAATCATTCCAAGAGGTCCAACACGAAATCGAAATAGATATAAACCCCATGTAACTCTCTGGTGCTGCTCTCAGCAGTCTCGCTCCTCTCGTCCTGTCATCCACAATGTTGTTCTGTAAATTCTTTTTGAGTGGCAATTTCGATTGCGCTCCCGACGAAATACTACCTTCGTTCCAAAAAAATAATGTAATTTTAGGTGTGGATTGAGTCAAATTTCTTTAGTTTGGCTAAGCTTATGGGAAATGTTATCGACATTTATGACTCCAAATAGATAATATCATTAAAATATATTTTATAATTAATCTAACCATTTTATTTGGTATCGTAAATGTTGGCACTCTTTTGTATAAATATGATCAAACTTAAAACTATTTGACTATTCGAAAAACGAGAATTACATCTTTTTTGGATGGAGAGAGTATATCAGGTGGAAAAGTCTCCCTTCCCTTGGTTGACAAGTTAAAAAAAGATCAAATAATTATTATTAGGATAAGTCGAGTCCAACAAAAGAGAAAATTAGATTTGTAGGTCGATTTTTTTTCACATATGCTCCCTCAGTGCACATAAAGTGTTTTTGAGTTTGACTAACTATAAATAAAAAATTTCAATCAAATAAGTATCATTAGATTTGTCATGAGATATATTTTCATACTATATCTATTTGGTGTTATAAATATTAATATTTTTATCTATGTATGATCAAATTTTGTACATGTTAATCAAGAATGCTCCTAAAATTGCATTTTTTTCTTGGATAGAGGTAGTACTTATGTTTTTGGCCTTTTTTTTCTTCCCTAAATCACACTACAAATGTGAAAATTCATGTATACAGCACACTCGCTTCTACGTAGGTATATACATGCATCTTACCTAAATAAATCCTTTTAAGAAATTGAGCTGGAATCTTGAGACTGATAAACTTACTTTATGTGCCTCGTCGACGGAAACATATATTTACTACGGAAAAATAATTAACTAAAAATAAGTGCACACATGCCGAGTCAGATATTCGAATCTAGAAGAACACATTCCACTACAAGGATCTGGCCTACTAAGCCATGTTTAGTTCACTTGTTTCTGAAATATGATGTAAAAGTTTGAGATATTTCTCTCATGACCCTTACGTTAATCCATTCACCCACCAATATAAAAACTTTTGAGATTTTTAGGATAAATTAAGTAGACAGAAAAAATTCACACCCATCATTAAAGCGCAAATAGTTCTTGATTAACATAATTAATAGTTGGGCCAAATCATAATTAGTCATCTCTTCGTTTGACATTCATAAATTCTTATATTTGTGGACAATTTTGAAGACCAGAAGTAGTTCTTATCTATTTGAGAAAGGATGAAGTACTCCCTTCATCCTAAATTAAGTGTGTTTTTAGTATTGAGGTTTGTCCCAAAATAAGTGTACTTCTAGCCATTCGGTATAGTCCACCTAATTCTAATAGACTTTTTTTTTACTTTCTCTATTTCTAAGGTGCAATCATCACATGCTAGAATAGTTTTTTTATAAGAGCAAATTTGTAACTTTCAAGTAACATTGATCTCCTCCAAAAGGATTATAAAAAATACACTTATTTTGAGACAGAGGAAGTATAATTTTAAAAACTCCATTTTAAACCCTAGTGCGTACAATACCCTAGGCAAAGCATACTCTCCTTTCTTTTTGCCAAAGTCCATTTATATCTCTTGTGTAAGATGTACCTCATTCTATGTTGCACCATTTTTCTCAAGAAAAATATGTTGGCGACGTCCTCTTGCTAATAGGGCCCAATATTTTCGTCGCTGAATAAATCAATTCTTATAGTTTTCTTAAGTTGATTTTTTTTATGTTTAGCCAAATGTATTAAAAATAAGACAAATATTTATAATACCTAGTGAGCATATATTATAAAAATATATTTTGCCATATATCCGATGATACTAATTTAGTGTCTTAAATCTTCATGTTCCTTTCTATAAATTTGATAAAACTTAAAAATATTCAATTCAACGTAAATCTAGAAATTGATTTATTCGAGGACGGGGCAGAGGTAAGTCCTGTCAATTTGAGTTCAAATCTTAATCCGGTCGTTGACAATTTCATGCAGGTCTCCGCCTTGATGTAAACAAGGAAACCCGCCTTCTCTACCACTACTGGTCAGTCTCCACTCCACGCCCGACAGAGGAGGATCAAGAAATGGCGACCCCAGTGCGATCGGCGGCCGCGTCCCGCCGCCTCGTTCCGTCGATAGCCCCGGCGAGCTCTGGACATGTCCGAGGATTGGCGTGCTTTGGTACCCGTACCGGGCCTTGTGGTGCCCGAGGGTTGTCAATGGTGGTCGCCGACTCCACCCGCCGTCGGGCCAAGCAAGGGGACGGCGTCCTCGGGCTCCTGTTCTCCGAGGGCTTGGGATGGCGGGATTGGGGGATCAGCTGAGCGTGGTGATGAAGTTCGGGGGGTCCTCGGTGGCGTCGGCCGCGAGGATGGAGGAGGTGGCCGGCCTCATCCTGACGTTCCCCGAGGAGCGCCCCGTCGTCGTCCTCTCTGCCATCAGGCCCGGTCCTGTCAGTTCAGACACATGGAGCGAAGCTAGGAAGGTGGGCCCTTTAATACAACTCTAAAAAATTATTCGCTGCCCTAGTTAACATCATATCCTGACTCCGTAAGGATTCCTAAATCCCTGTATTCTAATGAAAAAGATTAGGGTGAAAAGCAAATTAAATCTTAATTAAATATATTTACTTGACATACATCAATCAAAGGGGAGCAATTATTGGATACCTCCGTACGAAACTTTGGATGTCTTGTCTACGACTGCCCTAGTGCCTGAACGGAGAGTGGGCTGGACGCCGCCGGCCAGCAGGGGGGCGCACGACCGATCGATGATGGCACAAGCACAACGCGCAGTCGCTGGTCGCAGCGGAGCGGCCGCGTGGCAGAAGGGCAAACCTCGATGCGCCGACGCGGAAGCCAAAACGATGGACGCGTTTCACTTTCACGTACGTGCCTCTCCGTGTCCTGGGCTCCTGGCTTTCCTATGGGCTATTGGGCTCTTATACCTACAACTTACGTACATGGGGTTGGGCCGAGGACGGTAGGAGCGAGCCCCCGTAAGTGATGGTTTGTTTAGTTGCTGCTCAAGTTTGGCCGCACCTAAGCTGTCTGAATCTCATCTGCGAGTGAATGTTCTCTTTGCTGCACCCGGTGATCTCTCGTCGTTGCTCTTCTTTGTGTGAACGTACCCCTCGTTCGGATTCGTGTGCAACTGTAATGTATCCTTCAGAGTTCAGACTTTCGGCATCTCGAGTCATGCATGCGTGCATCAACTGAGAAAAATTGAAACCGTTTCCCATCGCAGTTGTTCGATCGGGGAAGAGTTCGTTTTCTTTTTGTGAACCTGTTCCGGGAATAGTTGTGTTCATCTTTGAACAGAGGATGCATTAAACTAAACTCTTTGGAGAATCTAAGTTTATTGTTTTTTATAAGGAGAATGTAAGTTTATTGTTGGTCCCTTACATGGATATGAGTAATTAGCCACCGTATTTTTTTAATTTCCCCCAAAGAACAACGAATTATTATATTCAAGAGAAGCATGTTCGCTTGGGCAGTTGGGGCTACTAAAGCCACTGCCGGCGTCGCCCTTATCCGTTCCCCCCTTAATCCTTCCGCAAAGTTTTTGCCCAGTAGTCGGCATGTCGATGACTTTTCTACCACGTATAAACGTCCGCACGAACGGTCTTGCACCTGCCCACTCGCTCGTGCGGCCGGGGAAGTCTTCGGATTGAATCAAGAACCGAATCCGTTGGGGCCCCTTGAACTCGAGGGCCCTGTGCCACCGCACTGCTCGAACCCCCCCAGGGCCGGGGCTGCTGCCATGGGGAAAACCACCAACAACCTTCTCCTTGTACCGATCGCTTCGCACTGCTCTTGATTGGTTTTCTTTTAGGCTTTTAGCTCTGTCCAATCTTTCTTTGCTTTGCCAAAAGTTTGCTGTTCCTTTTGCCTGCTGCATAATTCACTGGTTGAATGCATCAAGAAGAATCTTCAGTCACCTAAAGTGAACTTTTCATATTTTTTTTGTAATGATTAGCAATCTAATCGTGAATCTCTAGGCCTTGGTAGATGCTTGGTGAAAAATCTGTGTTGTCCATGGTTTGCTGCAGTGGTGCATAAAAAATGCCTAGAAACAAGGATTAAGTTTACTAAAATACTGAACCTTCATCCATGGTATGCTGTTTGCATTGTATAAGAAATATTTGAGCTAAAGGGAGCCGTGAGTTATTTTAATCGTTGTTTCGTGTATACCCTAAAATTCATGGTATATGTGATCGTTTTTAGGCTGGAGAGAAGGCAGTGGGGTGTGGAGTGATCCATGTTTCTGAAATCGAAGAGTGGAACATGATCAAAGACCTACATATCAAGTATCCCACTTTCTGTTTGAGCTGCTAACTATTAGAATACTTGCAATAATCTCAATTGATGTTGACTTGCTCGCTGTCAAACCAGGACAGTGGATGAACTGGGGCTTCCAAGATCTGTAATACAAGGTAAACCCACAACCTTATGTGACCGCCTTCTGTATTTTTCGGCCTTTGTGTAACAACTGTGGACAAACTCTGTAGACATGCTGGATGAACTGGAGCAACTATTGAAAGGTATCGCTATGATGAAAGAGCTGACGCCTAGGACCAGCGACTACCTTGTTTCATTTGGAGAATGCATGTCCACCAGGATTTTTGCTGCTTATTTGAACAAAATTGGTGTCAAAGCACCGCAGATACTTCTTGACGTTTCCTTGATTTGCACTGTGATTCGGTGAGCTTTTCAGGTTATGAACTTATGAATACAGCAGCCTACAAAAATTTGCTATAGTATCCCTGCCTATGGTGGGGATGTCCTGAAAATTTGATTAGTCATTGATTTTTTTACTGCGTATGCACTACATGTTCTCAAGTCTCAGTTCATTATGTTAGTTGCTTGCCGCTAGTATTCTGCGGAAATTTCATATTTCGATAATGATTCATTCATTGATCTTTTTCTTTGTGTGCGGAAAAGATTCTTAGATTTTTTTAGATTTTGTGATTAATTCGATGTTTCCATAAACTTATAACCTTTTAGATAATGGAGATAATCTCCGGCCTCTGCACCAACCAGAGTCACAAACACCATTTTATCCTTTAAATGTGGACAACAGGATTTGAACCATTATAGTGGAGTCATACACCCACAACTCAATTGACTGTTCGATTACAATCTGGAGTTCCCTTTATTTAATGTCTCAATTTGATACAGGGACCTATAATGGTAACCAGCCTAGCTGCAAATCACCAGTGTATCCATATATACCCAAAGTCTTCTGCATTATGCAATGATGTGAACTCACGTTCATTATTAATTTTATTTTGAAATTCTTGTGCAGTATGACGCATTTGATATTGGTTTCATGACAACTGATGAATTTGGTAATGCGGATATCTTAGAAGCAACCTATCCTGCTGTTGCAAAGAGACTTCATGGGGACTGGATACTGGATCCAGCGATACCTGTTGTTACTGGATTCCTTGGGAAGGTATCTCATTGACAAACAATTTCTTCATCCATGAGGCAACTTGTTTATTGCAACCGCCATCACTTGCAGGGCTGGAAATCAGGTGCTGTAACTACTTTAGGCCGAGGTGGTAGCGACTTGACTGCTACAACCATTGGTAAAGCCTTGGGACTGAGAGAAATTCAGGTCTATGTTTAGTCTGAATAGATATTGAATAAACCATATTTTTCTTTCTGAGGAAAAAAAGTTGAGACAACAGTTGATGCTAATCACTAAGCTAGCATGTGCATTTCATGAAAATTGTTGTTTATCCCCATACATTGTCTATTTTGTCTGAAAGCTTACTGTGCCTGTGCTAGGTATGGAAAGATGTTGATGGTGTACTGACTTGTGATCCAAATATCTACCCACATGCAAAGACTGTTCCATACTTAACATTTGAAGAGGCTACAGAACTTGCTTATTTTGGTGCCCAGGTATTCCATTCATTTTAAGTGAAGAATCAAAAATAACATTTCCCCCAAGAAAAACTATCTATCTTGGATTGTTAAAGGGGCTATGATTGACATGCAATGATTCATTTTTATCACTAATGATTCTTTCTGCAAATTATATTTTGAATGCTCAAGAGAAGAGTTCTGGAACTAAACAACAATGATATCGGGTACAGGATATTTCATGTTTATAGCAGGTTTTCAGGACTTGAACCCTGTATAGTGTGGCCAGGCTGCTTCTCAGTGAATAAATGGATCTTTCAGTTGCATACTTTCGAAAAACGAAAGACTCTTTAGTGCATTACTAGGGGTTCAGTAGATAAACCTCTTTTCCTTTGTTTACCTTTTAAAGCTATACTGATTGTTGCTTGGCATTTGCTTTACTAATCATCATGAACTGAACATATAGCTCATGATGTCAGTCTTATTCACTCTGCTGAACAGAAATGAGAAATCATAGCATACCAAATGAGTAACTATGTGCCTGTTGCATTCATGATTCTCAGTCACAACATCTATCGTCAACGCAAAACCCAATTGCCCAAAACTTGTTTGCCGTATGCATGTTTCCGGCTCCGACATTTACCGTGCCTTACCCTTACATCCTGAGCAGGTTAACATGTCGCTGATAGTCCATGACAGCGAGGCAAAGGCACTCGTAGAAGCTCTCCATCAGGCGTTCTTTCAAGATGATGTCCTGGCGCAGGTCGAAGCGGAGAACCTAGTCGTGGGCTGATCGACGTAGGTTGTTGCCTCTAGGCGTGTTATCTCCATCAACGGCTTGAATCTATCCTCTTTCGCATGAAAAGTATTTGTCTTCCAGCTTCCCAGCGAATGACTACAAGACTTTGTGTTTCTAGTTTCCAAAACTGGTTGCAGACACCAGGGAACACCGATTGTCAACAAGATGGCAAGCAAGCCTGTGATATAATTCCAACTGCCTCTATCAAAATTTCTAAGGTTTGACTAAGGTTATGAAAACATTATTAATATCTGTAACACAAAAATAGATATACTATGAAAATATGTCTCGTGAGGAATAAACTCAGTGAAAGTTTGACTCAATAGACGAAGAGGGCGGGAGTGTCAACCTTTATATAAACTTCGGTGCTTGGGACAACGGGACAGCTCCCAACATCTGAAAAAACAGTTTCACTCTTAATTTTTTCTAAACAAACACTCTTAGCTCTACTTTCAAAAACATAGATCTAGCTCCGAGCTTGCGGGGGCGCGCTTGGGAGCTTCCGGGCGCCCTCCTGCTATCTCCGGCGGGTAGGCTGGCCGGTGGGGCCGGATCCGCCCTCCCTGGGTCCGGGTCAGGCCCGCTGCGGCTGGTGGCGGCATCCTCCCCTTGCTGCATCATGGCTCCCCCCGAGCCCCGTGGTGCGAGTGGGTGGCGTGTGGGGGTGACTGTCGGACTTCGCGGCTGGCGCTTGTGGCTGGCGGTGTCGGGGCCGGTGAAGTGTTCGCCGTTGGGGTTGCTGGGGCATGCTTGGGGACGTTAATCCCTCTTGGATGCTTCTCCCAACGAAGTTGGCGTCCGTGGATGTCATTTCCTTCTTGATGGCTTCGTTGATGCACTCCGCCTCCCCCGTTGCTCTCGCCGGAGTCGCTCCATCCTGTGTTGTGCATGCATGTATAGTCAAGCGGTGGAGGGCAGGGGTGGCGTGCCTTCAAGACTCCCTATTTTGTTGTGCTCGATGTGGGCGAGCACCGCGAAAAGCTATGTCGGATCTGTCGGCAAGACGACGGCGACGCCTTCGCGCGCGTCGTCTCCCTCCTTGGAGGCGTTGTCATGGTGTTTTCCCACTCCGACCGATCGCAGCAGTTGTCGCCGGTTGTGCCGTGGTGGCATGGCCGACAACGGCTTGCTTGGATGAGTGCCGCGACGCCGCGGGTGGTGTGGGTCGGCAATAGCCAACCAGGGGCACCAATGGCGCCATGGTGGCGTGGCCGGAGGAACTCGCCGCTTCCTCAAGGCCAAGAGGCTGCTTCTTGAAGGCCAAGAGGTGCTGCTGCTTCTCCACTGCCGCTGCGGCATGGGGCGGGCGGTCCTGTGGCCTGGACCGTCGGTGTTGTTGCTCGCTTCTACTTTGCCTATCTCGTGCTTCAACTCTATCTTCACATTGGTTTGTCCTTCGGTGTTTGTTGTTGCCGCCGCTGCTTCGGTTCGTTGGCGGATGCTTTGCCACTGCTGTCGCTTGGTGGATGCTTGGCCACCTCGTCGCTTTTGTCTCCACGCTCATTCAGCTATCGAGCGTGTGATGGCCCTCGCACGGATGCTTTGCCGTAATGGTCCTTTTCCGGTGGATGCTTGGCCGCCGTGGTCGTTTCTTGTGCGGATGCTTTGCCACGGTTGTCGTGCCGGCTCCCTTGGCTTCCTTGGTGGATGTTGGCTAGCAGCAGCCTACACTACACCTTAGGCTACCAATGTGTTTTTGTCTTCCCAGATAGGCTCACCAGTAAGGGTTTGGTGGTGGAGGCCCTACCCCCGGTGCTTTCTTGCTGTATCGTTTGTGTTTGTGGGATTGTGCTGGTAATTTTAGGATTACCGGCCAGTCGTTGTTGTTTGGTTCGGTGTTGTCTACTTCCTCTTAATGAAATACGTGCTACACGGCACGTTCGAGAAAAAAAATCATAGAGCCCCTCAAGAGTGCTCCGAAAACTCCTGTTTTTAGAAATTCGTTATTTCTGAAAATCAAGTATTTCTCGTCATCGACGGCAATCAAGAGTGCTTTCAAAACTCCTGGTTTCAGAAATTAGTTATTTCTCGAAACTAAGTATTGGCCACTGACTAAACTTTCTCGAAACCCAGTATTGGCTACTGACTAAAATTTCCATTGGTTATAACTTATAACTCGTGTTGTTAGGGTTCCTCGACAGCCGGCTGTTTGCTCGGTGTGTTTGTATTTGGTAGATAGTTGATTGTATCCTTACAGTTACAGGGTTCATCTCCTCAATATATCACTCCTCACTACTGGGCTGCTTGGCGCAAGCATTACATGACAACGCTGGGCCGGTCACTCGAACATTACGGGCCCTCTTCCTTGTGCTCTTCCTAGGCCTTGCCGCTTCCGGTGGACTGTCAATGTGACTGGAATTAAAGTTTAGTCACCGGGAAACACTCCCTAAGCCTCGCAATGTGTTCTTCTCCTGAGAGAGACCTTCAGAGAACGCGGGCTTGTTCACGCAATGGGCCTTGGGCCTCGGGCCACCCATTACCTGTTGTTCCACTAGTAGCCCAGGAAGGCCTACTGCTCAGCTCGTCGTCCCCACCACTCTGGGAAATTTAAATATTTGCCATCGTTGCTAAAGGCACTCGGCCAGTTGCCAATTTTAGTTTTGCAATTTCATATTTGCCACATGAACAGTAGACAAAGCTATATATTTGCCACTTTGAACAACGTGGCAAGTCAACTCACCGTGCTAGCGTGTATAGATCGTGGGAAATGACGCTTGTGCCCCTGTCTCCTCTCTTTCAACCCATCTCCTCTCTCGCTGTCCCACTTTCATATGGATCCCGCTTGTCATCATCTACCTCACACCGGCTCCCATCTCCTTTGTCTACCGCTGGAACCCAAGCCACCGTGGCTTCGTTCTTCTTGGGCCGTGAGTGGTCATTTTATTGTTGATTTTGTTTGCGCCAAATCAGGGGCAGTTTTCACATCGGCGCTTCTAGTGCAGGTAAGATTTGCCCTCCTTTTGCAATTCCAAGTAAAACAGTACTTTTTTGCGAATTAGTAATTTACTATCTGAGTTGACAATGACCATGTTCCTCTCGTGTGCCTGTTTCTGAACTTTTTATGCTCCATTTGATCAAAAGATACCGTGACACGTTTAGAGCTTCTGTGACGAAACATTGAGCACATGAATATATAGCAGGATCGTGGCTGCTAATTCCTTATAAATAGCTGAGGGTCATGGTAAAACGATTCTGAAGATGGTCGATGATGTCTTTTTTTTCGACACGAGGCATCACCTCATTCCCATTGATAGCAACGGAACTGCATTGTTTGAGAGTTTACAGAAAGCAGCAAAGAGCGGTAAGCAGGATAACGACTGTTCCAGACACATCGCCAGCATCAGACGAGCTACAGTGCGGCATGATAGAGATAACAGAACTAAAGAAAAGTAACGCATCACAACTACTAAAAGGCCCTCCAGGCCAGAAGAGCAGACATCTGCAGACTCAGAAGCACCAAAAGAACCACACCACTTCCAGTTCAACAGCCTTCATAAGAGCATCCTTAATCTCGATCTTCCTCCTGTCCATCCTCCAGCAGGCACTGTCCTTGTTTCACTGCTTTCTTACTCATTAGCTTGACCGCTATCGCCAACATTGATCAATGATGTCTTTTTGGGTAATATATATAGATACCTACTTGAGAAAGAAGGCTCGACAAATAATCAGTGAGAACATTACCCTTGTAATTGGTCAACTCTTGACTAGAATGGTGGTGTGTGGTCGATAAATTAATGAACTCTTGACAAGATGAACACAGGAACAGCGCACAAAGAATTCATTCAAAAGCATTGCTGACAAATGGAACATGAAATTAAGCCAAAATCATGCCAGTTCGAAAGGGAGACAGATACATTCCAAACAGCATACAAACACAAACACAGACATGCTGAATATATATATAGGATAGTGATACAACAATTGACACGGAAGATGAAGAACTTGAAGGGACCTTCATCATCTTTATTCAATAGATATAGTAGAAGCAACATAAGTAGAAATACTTCAGAAGTAGCAGGAGGAGCAGCAGCATGAACGAGCAACACCAACAACTCTTCATCTTCGGTAGGAAAGGTAGCAGTTACAGAAATACTTCAGAAGTAACGGAGTAGTTTATCAAGGAGTAGCAGCTACAACTGTTCATCTTTATTCCATCGTAGAGGTAGCAGTGCAGCAGCAGCATTACAAATAGAAATACTCTAGAAGTAGCAGGAGCAGGAGCAGCATTATCAAGGAGCAGGACCGACAACTCTAGATTCTTCACCACGCTGAGGTGGACCGATTTTGAAATCAATACCATTACGGTTACGGTTTCTATCAATGTCTCTTTGCAGTGTCTGCAGTCCCTCCTGGTTGTATGATCCCCCATTGAGTACGAGGTGTGTTAGACTTCGGAGATCTTGGACCCCTGAAAGTGACTCCATGTAACTGAAAGACCAACTCATCTTTTGAAGCTTAGGGAGTATATTTAAGGTGACGCTGGTGATAGTATCATCTTCAATGTCAATATCCGTGAGATTCTTGAAGCTTAGATCCTCCTCAGAAAAGATCCGATCCCTAACAGAAGCCCCGAAGGTGATAGTGCCTTCACCGAATGAATGGTAAAAGAGCCTGAGATAGCGTAGTTTAGGAAGCATACCAAGTACACAGAGACCATCCTGCTTCAGAAAAGTATCCCGGAGAGTTATCTTGGCAAGGTGATGGAGCTCCTTGATCCTTGGAGGCAGCCCCCTTCTGATGCTGCAGATGTGTAGGCTTTCCAGGAGCTTTGGAGGTCTCAGTAAAATAACATCAGCAGCATCCCAACTACTTGGTGGTTCCATTCGGATTGACAAGGACCGAAGGCATCGGTTGAGTTTCTCAATCTGAAGGAACAACTCCTTCAAGCTAGCCTTCTTACCAGATAGAACCACACCCAGCTTCTTGAGGTGCTCAAGTTTGTCACCAACGTTAATCAGCTCTTTAGCACTGTCGGTAACTTTGACACGGGACAA